GTGAAATCCGTCGGGTCTCTGACTCTCACGCCCGGATCGACCCCCGAACAGTCTGGGGCGCAGACCTGCTCGCCGGGAGACACCTGTGGAGTGAGAAAATACTCCAGCTAATAATAACGTTATTTGTACTTTATTCGATTCTTCTTATATACAGAGAAACACACTTCATTTCATATAACATTGGTAAAAGTCCGTAAGTGGTTAAAAATCAAATGCATTTTATAGCCACTGTCTATAGAATTTAATCCACTCCATTACCAGGCTAAGATTGTATTCAAGTTATTCAAATAAAGAAAGAAATATATTGACAGTAACAATAAGAATTTGAAAACATTTAAGTTATCAGTTTAAAGAGAAATATATCAAAGGTGTATGTGTGTATAGAAATACATACATACGTATCTATGTGTGTGTGTATGTGTGTGTGTGTGTGAGTGTGTGTGTGTGTGTGTGTGTGTGTGTGTGTGTGTGTGTGTGTGTGTGTGTGTGTGTGTGTGTGTGTGTGTGTGTGTGTGTGTGTGTGCACATACATACATACATACACACACACACACACACACACGCACGCACGCACACCTCCTACACATCACTCCGCAACACAGTCATCAGAAAAATAAAAACAACCAAGAAGACCATCTACCACAACACCTGGTCAACAAGTGGTCATTAAAATCTTCTGCTTCACTGGTGCTTCAGAAGCTTGAAAAAATCCGCGACAAGAGAGTCACCAACCCCCTTGATCTGCCCATGCGCCTCATCAAGGAGTTCTGTGCTTCCTCATCATGATTAACGACGCACTCCTGGACACCGAGCATCGCTGGAAATGCGTGGATGACTCGACCATCGCCGCCGCCATTGACAGCTCCTGTCCTGACTCCGCCTTCCAGCGCACCCTCGATAACCTCCTCTCCCGGACCACCGCAAATCACGTCACTATCAACCGCCAGAAGTCGGTCGTGATGCAGTTCGACTTCTCCACCAACCCCGCCCCCGCGCCCATCCTCACGCTGGACGACCACCAGCTCGACGCAGTTCGTTCCCCCAAGCTGTTCGGCGTCACCATCGACGAAAAGCTCCCCTGGACGCAGCACGTCAGAGACATCGTGAGGTTTGCCTCGTACAGGCTTCACATGCTGCGTCGCCTCAAGTCCCTTGGTGTCCCACTTCCGGAGCTTCAAAATATCTATAGGCTATTCATCCTGCTCAAATTGACCTACGCCTCCCCCCCCCTCCTGGCCCCTCTCCCTCATCGCCACCCAACTGCTCCAACTCGAGAGAGTGCAGAAAAGGGCAGCCAAGATTATTCTCGGTCATGCCTATACCAGCTATGACAGCGCCTTGACTGCCCAAGGCCTCCCTCGCCAATCACTACACAACTTCACTGCAGCAATTTGGCCTGAAGCTGCTGTGCCATCCACACCAACGCGACCTGCTGCCCCCCGACGCGGCGCCGCCAACAAACTGGTGCCTGCACTGACCGCTACCACCGGAGCACAATACCCACGCTAGTCTGATTCATCAACGAGCGCTAGTCAGTGGACCGCCCACCACACCTTCTACGAGCACTAGTTCACTACTGCTAGTTCAGCACTACTAGCTTACCTGTACTTGCACTTCTTTTGTTTCTCTTGCTTCGTTTGTTATTTTCCTATACATTGTTAGTTTATTTTGTTGTTTATTGTTTATATTTGTTTATGTTTATGTACTTTATCTCTTTATCTGTATTTATCTATATTTTCAACTCCTGGATGCTTGAGATTCAGTAAACCGATTATAATTATTATTATTTACACACACATACACATTCATATATATATATATATATATATATATATATATATATATATATATATTTACATATATCTGTGTGTGCGTGTGTGTGTGTGTGTGTGTGTGCGTGTGTGTGTGTGTGTGTGTGTGTGTGTGTGTGTGTGTGTGTGTGTGTGTGTGTGTGTGTGTGTGTACGTACATATATATATGCATATATATATGTATATATACATATATATACATATACATATATATAAAAATAAATGTATATATATGTATATGTATATATATATATATATATATATATATATATATATATATATATATATATATATATACATATATATATTACTCGAAACTCCTTGACACAGATACTCACCGCAAGCATCGCCAAGATGACATAGCGAGAGAGCATTGTTCAACTGTGCTTCTATATCATTGGAACGCTTATATATTTGAATCGTTATCATGTAGTTATCAGTCACATGAACTGCACTTCTAGGAATAGTTTTCATTTTATTTAATTGTTTGTTAATTCTCTCTCTCTCTCTCTCTCTCTCTCTCTCTCTCTCTCTCTCTCTCTCTCTCTCTCTCTCTCTCTCTCTCTCTCTCTCTCTCTCTCTCTCTCTCTCTCTCTCTCTCTCTCTCTCTCTCTCTCTCTCTCTCTCTCTCTCTCTCTCTCTCTCTCTCTCTCTCTCTCTCTCTCTCTCTCTCTCTCTCTCTCTCTCTC